CCAAAGGGAGGAACTGCCAAAGTAACTCAATATCTTCTCCCCACCCAAGATCTCTTGGAAGGACAAGGGGACCTCGGCCCCCTTTCCCTACCACCTGCCTGCATTCCATGGATGGAAACAGTTAACTCCCAAAGTTCAAGGCCACTCGCAGCTCTCCACCTCGGAGAGAAAGAGCTCCCCCCCCCCCCCCGGCTTCCTTCTGGGGAGGGCTCCTTCCACACTCCCAGCTCCCAACCAGGGCCTGAACCTGGGTGGCAGCACTCATTTCTGGAGTCCTCTCGACCATAAAGCAAAGAAGAAGCACCTCCGTGGCCAGATCAGGGCTGGCCCACAAAGCCCCTTACCAGATGGGCGGCTGCAGGAGCAGCCACCCCACTGCTTTCCATTAGCCAGCCGCAATGCCAGGTGCCACTAATAAGGTCCATCAGCCAGAAAGGAGAGCACGCCAAGCCAGCCCCACACATTCTGGAAGTTATCACTGTCAAACATTTGGGGGGGGGGGAGCCAGAGCTGTGGAGAAGCCAGAGGCAATCCATCGCAGAGCGGTTAGTGCAACATAGGAGAGAAAAACACACATGAAGTCATTGTCTTCTTCAAGGTCCAAAGTTGGAGGTGATCGTAGCACCTGGCCAACGTGCTAGAGATGCAGCTGTACCATTTGGCCACCAAGTTGAAGTTTTGATCACACACTGAGCACACACACACATACGTGCCTGATCCAAAGCCCCAGGCGTGGGATGAGCCCCTCCCCCAAATTCCACGCATCACCTAAAATTAAAAGCATAATTCCTTTTGAAAAAAACGAATGACGCTTTCATTCATTTCACTGCATTTAAAAGCATCCGTGCTATTATTCCCTTCCCCAAACTGGCAACTAAAAGCTGCAATCAATGCAAATATTAAATTAAATCTGATCTTCTCTGAATGTTGTTGGAAACTTTCTATTTACAGAAGTTGACGGTTCGGTGCTCACTGCTTGTTCTGTGCGTCAGAACCACAGCCCCCATTTGGGAGAGAGAAACAGGTGGTGGCAAAGTTGCAGGTCTCAAATAAGAAGAAATTTTGGTCAAGAGGTTCCCCAAATTCAGCAGCCTTCAAAGACCTTCGGGAAGCCGGAACAAGAAGCAACAGAGGAATCGCAGTCATCAACTCTGAATTTCTTCTGTCTGAATATCTTCTGTTACACACATTTTGCCCAGAAATATCTTGTCACCATTTTCTGCCATGCAGAATTTAGCAAAAAAGCACCATTCAAAAGAATAACAAAGATTCAATTAACGCTGACTTTCATTTGTGATTCTAAAGTAATGTCACGAATGAAGCCAGCATATATTAGAAAGTCCTGTGCAGATTTGGCTAAAATTCCTCAAATTATCCCACATTTTAAATTAAGGTTTACACAGTTCTGAACATTAGTTAGCTTTTGATATGAGAATTATCACTTGGTATTAATAAATGATGGGAAAACAATAACGTAGGTAACTCAAGGTACAGGGGGATTCCTCAAATTTCTCAGTAAGTGTGATAAAATATGGTACATCAAACATTCTTTATTATGTGTCAACTTTTTCAGACAAATAAGAATGAAATCTGTCCATTGTCAAAGCTCTAAACAATTCAAATTTACTCTTATTTTCCAAGCGTCCCACTGCCTTTTGGAAATCATGATTATTAACAAAACCTCTTTAGTTTTCTGATCTGTGCCTTAAAAATTGTTTAACCAAAATGACCTCCAAAGAAGGGGGAGTTAACAGAAAATCAAGAAACCACAGGCACTGGTATCAATGTGTCACGTCTCATAAAAATTCAGGTTGCAATAAATATCAGGGAGACCAAAATTGTCAGCACCTTCAGATGAAATTTTCCAGATTCGATGGCCTGATTTAAATGACAAGCAAAGTTTAACTAAATCTGGGGCATATTGTGGAATTAGTCTTCTCATTGTCGTCCTCGGAATCTTCCTTTTTCGCCCTACATTTTCCCTCTCCCCTGGAAAAAAAATGCACTAGCCAGACTGTATTAAGAGCATCATAAATAAGTAATTCCTCCCGCTACAGGTGTTGCTTCAATTACATCTAAAAGAACACAGAACATGACGCTTAAAAAAAGCAGCTTTTTTTAGACGAAAAACCCACCAGCCCTTCTATTTCTTTTTTTAAAAGTACCTTTTTAAGAGTGAAAAATCTGCCACCTTACTCATCAATTCAGCAGTTCACGTGGAGCCAAGCAACCATTTGACGGGATTAAGGAAATTCAAACCTCAGAGTGAAGCCGGCAGGGACAGAAGAAACAACCAAGGTTATCGACCAGCTCTGGCAATTCCAGAATGGCTCAGTATTTAAAATCCCCAACCGTGACACTTCCCAGCTGGGCAAGGCTTGATGCCAGAGCACCTCAGAAGGCAGGCAGGCAGGCACCTGATCCTTGAACCAGAGGGTAGCAAGGGGCGGCGGGGGGGGGGATCCCCTTGGACCACTGGTTCCTGGCGTGACCTGGCCTTCAAAAGCCTGCTGTGATTTTATAGAATAATGTTTCTTCCTGACTTCCATGATATTTGAGACCCGGCTTCTTCCTCTTTGTTTTCTTGGAGACAGAGACCCCAGCCATTTCCACAGCCCAGGTGAGGAGCAGACATTAGGGATTGGCACAGAGAAGACAAACCAGGTTATGAGGTGGGCTTCAGATCCCTCTGTCCCTCACAGTGTATCCAGGAAAGCCCCCTCCAACTTGCTCCTCTCTTCCCATTATCCTCAAATCTTTAGGAGGCTCAACGCTCCCCGGGGAACTGTGCCCCTTCCTGGGGGGGGGGGTTTCAGCTCAGGAACAGGAACTGGTCCCTGGCTACAGAGCAGGGTCAATAGAGCCAAGGTTAGCAGGGGCGAGGAGCTGAAAAGCCAGCCCTGAATGCCGGCAAAGCCATTTTTGTGGGAGGGGGAATCAATCCTTCCTGGGTGGCCCAATGGCCAAGGGGTTGACCTCAATGGGCAAAGCGCGTGGGACAGGTGCCAGAGGCAGCCCAACTGCCCGTAAGTTGTGGCCCTGCTCAGAAGAGAGGATTTGCTGCTCCACCCTAGATTAGAGTTACTGTTCCTAAAAGTCACCAAGCCCAAAGCAGCCTGCTCCTCGCCGGCCTTGCCAATGTACATTATGTACATTTGGACTACAGTAATTAAACTTGTCGGCTCATTAAAACATCTCTGAGCATCTTCTGCATTGTGGCTCAAATCCTATTAGCAGGCTGCCTTCTAATATGTTTACACAGTGTTAGAGGCACAAGAAATATGTTTCACTCTGCACCTCGGCTACAAATGTTTGCACAAGACGAAGGCACCGAAGGCACCGGGCTGCTGGGCACGCTTTTTGTTTTTCTGCATGACAAGTAAGGCCAGGTACAGCCAAGGAGCCCTGCCAAGCCCTTTCTACCTTCCAGACCCTTGCAGACAGACTGAGCAGGGGGGGGGTCCTTATTGGGGCTGAGCAAAAAGAATCCCCCAAAGGATCAACTGCCTGCTCAGGAAATGGAGAAGCCCAGAAATGAAGCACAAACCGGCATTCATGAAAAATAATAAGTGAGTTAAGTCCCCCCAAGAAACAGACAGACCCACAATATTTTTCGAGAAAGCGCTGCCTTTATAGGAACAGCTGCCTATCAAAATGGACTCTCCCCTTCCGTGCATTTGATATGATTTTTTAACAATAGGGACCTCTTAAGCAGCCGAGTTCAAATGAAAGCAATGCTCAAAACTACAACTGAGTGAAGACAGATTTTCATATATTAACCTCCCTTCAGAGATCAATTTGTTTTTTAATGTGCTGCTCCACTTAAAGCCACTGTGGAGGTTGATGACCCAAAAGGACATTTTAAACTTTTTTAAAGGGAATCTGTCACCAAGAAGAGCATTAAACTACTTCAGAGGAGCAGCAACTACACATTCTGAGCAGTGTGCTTGGTTTTTAGTTACTGTGGACATATTACAAAGATTTACATGGGAACTTTGCAGAAATTCTAACAATATTTAAAACAGACCAATAAATAAAAACAAACTTTGGCAATCATCTTAAACTGATCCAGTGCCCAAAACAGCAATTTCTGCATAAACCTAAAAATGCATGTTGGGGTCAAAATTTGCCATTCAGAAGGCTGAGCCTAAGCTGGCCTAAACGAAAGTAGCTACTAGCAAGCAACTCAGCCCAGCAAACATTACTTAAATCCTGCTTTGCATTAATAAACTGGAGCAGCTTCTACAAGAATAAAGCTGAGTTTAGGGGGGCAAATTAAACTGAGTAAAGAATGGCCATCCAGATGCTACTGACTGCAACTCCCATCACCACCGCTGGCCTTGGATGGGGGGGGGGACAGCATTTCACAGCACGCAAAGGATTAAACATTTCTCCTTGGACTGCAGCCTCCCAATTTCATCTCAGCAGCATAGAAGAATCTCTGTTCTTTCTTGGAACACACACTTATGTGGCTTCCACAGTTTCTGTCCTCCCACAGTTTGTTCCCAAAGACAAACTTAAGAGGAGTCCTGCGACTGGACCAGACCAAGGGACACGCTTACTCCAGACTTCCATGGCTGAGCAAATATATTCAGGAAGCCTGCATACCGGGGCAATAGGACGCTGGTCCGCCTTCTACTGTTGCTCCCTAGCAAGGCTGCTGTCTCCAAGTGGCTAACAGAGAGCAGCTTCATTGTCAGCCTGGCCAAAGAAGAGAAGTTCCTCCTTGAGTCACCATTTCTATTCTGAAGACCAACTTACAATGATGTCACTACAGAGCTTTTTCCCGGCTTTAAATTTTTCTTTTTCTCCCTAGCTGCTTTTATTTTCCCTTACTAGCAAGAGGCGTTTCCTGCAACTCAGTGCCTTGCCCTGAATTTTTTAAAAAGAAACATCATCAAGTCCATCAGAACCACAGCCAGTTTGCCTCCGCCCCCCCAGAATGACCTTTTTGAGCCCAAGCACAAAACACCAAAAGGGGGGAGGAGAATAAGGGCTACCTGTGCTGTTCCACTGTCTCGTTGTCCGGCAGCTCCACCCCACAAACGCTGCACTGCTCACCGACAGTCCGGTGTTCGGTTTTGATTCCCACGGCCAGTTCCCCGAGTTTGTTAAAGAGCTCTCTCTGGATGAAGCCCTGAGGGAGCAGCCCTCCGTAGGAGCCGAAGTCCATGGAGACTGCCAGGGCCGGCTGCACGTGCAGGGTGGGGGCCATGGAGACGGGCAGGCCGAGCACGGACTCGCTCTTGTGATTGGGCAGTACTGAATAGATGCCCATCGGCTTCTCCCCGCGGGAGGCCAAGAGGTCTGGCCCAACCATGGGGCCTGGCACTGCCTCAGTGGGCTGCTCCGTGTTGTCATCCCGGGGGTAGTGAAGTTCCCGGGCGCTTGTGATGACGCTGCTGCGGGTCGGGGTTCCAGGCCCTTGCTTGCTCTTATCCTCTGCTTTGTCCCCCCCGGAAGCGCCCAGCTCGGCTGACCTGGGGCTCTCGTGGCTGGAGGCCTCCTCCACCTGCATGGCTTCGGTCTTCAGCTCAGACACGGCCAGGGACCGGCCACTGGCAGAGTGCAGATCCTGGAGGGCCTGGTGGGGCAGAGCCCCCTGCAAGAGCGACTGGCCGATGCTCATCAAGCTGTCCACAGCAGTCTTGGTGGGGCTCATAGCCGCCAAGCCGAAGGAGGTGGAGACCGAGGGGCTGTGCTCCCCCATCGTCCCCATCAGGGTCTGGCTGGCCAGGCTGGAGTAGCCGCTCTCCTCGCTGGAATGGTTGGAGATCAGAATGTTCTTAATGTATCTGGACTTGCGGTCCTCCTCCTCTTCGGCCCCACCGTCGGTCATGCTGACTTCAGCCTCGTTGTCTTCTGATGCCTGGATGGTCTCCAGGATCTTCAAGCACTGTTCCTCCAGATACTCAATCTCCAGGATCTCGGCCGCATAGAGCAGGTCATCCAGGTCCTCAACTCTGGCCTGCAAGGTGGCAGTGTAGGCGTACTCCAGAATCTGCTGGAAGGTCTTTGGCGAGAGAAAGTCCAAGGTGTAATGCTGACTGTTGCGGTGGAAAAGGATCTCAAACATCTTGCTGGTGCATGCCAAGACGGTCCGGTGGGCATGGAATTCTTGGCTGTCCACCAGGATCACCACGTCGCACAGGGTGCCAGCCAGGCGCATCTGGTTGGCTTTCTGGAGAAGGCCAGTAGCGTGGCTGGAGTTCTGGAGCTGAACTGTACCCATCTTAGTCAAATCCATAATGCTCCTCCCGGGCTGCAGGCATTAGGGAGTCTTTCTACAGTCTTTCTGTCCAAAACCGTCTCTTGGGGGGGTCAACAATCTGGAAGGGGAAAGGAGGAAGAGAAGTTTTATAGGGGAAACGTGGTTCAGCGACGTGGGATCACAGCGATGGAAACCCGCCAGAGAACCCAACCTGAGGACAGGGAAGGGCTGTTAGTCCAGGTGGGGGTGGGAAAGGGAAGGAACATCAGCCTTGGTTCTTCATGTGGTCAAGTCCTTCTCTGACCAAAAGGAAACTGAACCCCATTAGGTGGGCACAGGAAGGGCATAGGGGGGTCAATGGGAGAAGGACCCACCATCTAACCCAGATTGCCATCCCGAGCAGTCTTTTTCCAACCAGCCCAACTTCTTCAATATCCAGCTTGCCCAAACACAGCTGTGTGGTTTCCCTGGCAACACCAAGGAAGCGGCTTGTCCCTGCCTACTTGTGGGATGCTTTTCCACTTTCCAGGTTAGTTGTTTATCAAAACCCTTAGCCTGACATTCAGATTTCTTAATGGTATCCCATCCCTAATAGTTATCTATCTCTCCCAAACTGAATTGGGACAGTATAGTAGCATCACTGCACGCACACACCTCGCCACCATTGAAAATCTTTTGAGGCAGGAATTTTGTGTTGTTTCCCCCCCCCCCCATAAGTTCTTAAAATTGAGAAAAAAAGAGGAAAATAGAGGGAAGAAATAGGGGCTCAATTCTAGTCCCCAAATGGGGTAGCCGCGCTCTCTCTCCCAAGCACTTTGACTTCCAGTGGATCCCAAAATGACCTCTCTCCCCACAGACTCCAGTGGGAAAGCAAAGTCTGCCCCCCCCGACCCCTCCCCAGGAGAAGAGGCAGCTTTTGTTAAAGGCTTAAGGCCAACTTCTTTGCCTTAAAAAGCTTGAAAAGCAGTGGCTCCTCGACCCCACAGACCCCCCCTCTGGGAGGGGGGATTATTTCCAAGAAGGAAAGTTGCCCTTAAAAGCTGCCCCATCCAGCCCGGATAACTCGGCCCACTTGGCCCCAATTCTTACCTTTTGGCGCGGGGGGGGGTAGGGGGGGGGCTCCCGTGCAAAACCACGGCTCCCTCAGCAGCAGCAGCAGCAGAGCAGCAGCTGGAGCCCCACAGATTCGGGGCACCTGACTGAGGGGGGGTCGGGGCGAAGGAGGGCACGAGAAATCTAGCAATTTCCCCCCCTCCCCAATATTCGAGGACTCGGGATGGGCCCTTTCGGGGACCTCCGCCCCCCCGTTTCCTCGGCGAGCTTCGCCCAGAGCTGAAGTCTTGCAGAGGGGCGGCCTGGACCCCCCTCAAACAAGGCAAAAAAGGGGGAGATAACACGGTTGCGGGCCCCCCCGGGCCAGGCAGCTGCGCAGCGCGGGACCTGTTGGCCTCCGGTGAGCCTTTCCTCGCCCGTGGCGGCCCCCCCGGAGCGCCTCCCGCCCGCCCAAGGGGGAGGCCGGCGGTTCTCGGGCTGGCCGGCGAAGGAAGGGCGAAAGTGACCCGCCCGCCCCGTCCGGCCGGCCGGCCTCGGAGACGTCCCGCCGACCGCGCTCCCACGACCCTCGGTCGCGTGTCGGCGGCAAACCCGCGCTCCCACGAACCGCGGGCTGGCTCCGGAGAAAGCCGCTCTCCCCGGGCTGTCCTCGCCCGCCCAGCGCGCATCTCGGGCAGCTCCGCGGCCGCCCGACTTGGAAGCAGCCGCCCTTCCCCTCCGCTGGCACCACGCGCCGGCCCCGGGAGCCCGTCTTTCCCCGGCGGAGAGGAGGGGGCGGCTCCCCTCCCGGGACGCTCCTGAGCCGCCCCTAATGCGGAGCGGCCTGAGGGGGCGACGCCGCTCCGCTTCCCCCAGAGCGGCTCCCCCCGCCCCCCCCCGCGCCTCGCCCGGCTCCCGTCCGAGGGGCCGCCGCCCCGAACAGCCCGGGAGCCCCGCCAGCGCCGGGGGGAGCAGCGCGCCCCGTCCCGAGACTTCCCGGAGCCCGCTCGGCAGAAGCGCGCACGAGGCGGTCGAGACGGCGAAGTTGCCGCCGCTCCGGCCCCGCCACTCACCGGCGCGCGGCGTCCCGGGCCAGGCGGGCGGGCGGCTGGAGAGCCCGCGGCGGCGGCGGCGGCGGCGGCGAGGGCAGCGGCGGCGTCGGGCGAGGGCAGAGCATCGCCGGCGGCGCGGCAGGCGAGTTCGCAGCGCCCGCTTCCAGACTCTCTAGCGGGGCTCGGCTGCGCGGCCAGCAAATCACCAGCCGCTGCCTGACGTTGCCGGGCTGGCGAGGCGCGTCGGAGCCGCCCCTCCTCCGCCTCCCCCGCGAAGCCCCGGCCGGGCTCCATCTTGAGTGCTGGCACCGACCGCGCCGCCACCCCCGCCCGCCCGCCTGGCCGGGGCTGCCCTGACCCCTAGTGCCCGGCCCCGGGGAACACAGGCGGACGCCGCTCGGCCCGCCGCCCCGGCTCAGTAGGCGCCTCCCCCGGGGCCAGCCGCCCCGGCGCCGCCCCCTCGGGGGAGATGCGCGCCTGGTGCCGGAGCGGCGCTCTGCACGTGCTCTGGCACCTCTGGGCGGGTGTCCCAGGACGCCGCTGACCGGGAAAGATGCCGGCTTGGCCCCTTCCCCTGCCCGGCCCTGCCTGTGGACGGGGCCGGGGCTGCATCCGCGCGGGAGGGAGGGGCAAAGGGGGCCCCGAGGGCGAAGGGCCCCACCCGCGCCTCGCTTCAGGCGGGTTAGGGGTGCCAATCAGGACTGGGGGGGGAACAGAGGCAGCAGCGGTGCCGGGACGGGCGGGGCCAGCCCGGTTGCGGCCCCGCCCTCGCAAGCGCCCCCCCCCGCCGACCATGGAGCGGACCCGCGCCGGTGCTGGACAGCGCTCGCCGCTTGCCCGCATCCAACATGGAGGCGGCGGCGGCGGCGGCGGCGGGGGAGGGTGGGCGGAGGCGCCCCGCCCCTTTCTCCCGGCCCCGCCCCGCCGCACCTGCTGCTGCCCCCGCTGGCCCGCGCCCAGACTCTGAGTGGGGGGGGGGGCCGCGAGAGCCCCTCCGCCCCGCCAAAGCGCCCGTGCCGAGGCTTCCCCGGGAGATCCGGCCGGCCCTGCCCGCCCGAACGGCCGCCCCGTCCAGCAGGAGCCGGAAGGCGGGTGGGAAGCGCGACTTCGGCCGCTCCAGGCCCGTTTGGCTGCCCTGGGCTCGCCCGGGCCCCTGCCCGACGCAGCTGGAGGGCGCCAGGCGGGGAAGACCAACCTTGGGGGAGGCCAGCGAGGGGCTACAAGCAAGGAAAGGGGCCGAGTCCCCCTCAGCCCCCTGGGCTGCCCTGCCCTAAGAAGGATCCAGGAGAGGGGGGGAGCAGGAGGGGCCCCTTCCCTCTGGGAGAGTCTCTCCCAAGGGAATCTGCTCTGGGGTGCCAGTGGTTCCGCACCCCTTTGCTCCGCCTGGAGCAGCTGCCTGGGATGGCTTCGAGCGGGGACTCGTGCAGAGAGGCGGAGGTGCCACCCAGGGCTCATCCTTCCCCCTTATTTGCTATAATAAGGGATGGGAAACGGCCCATGAAGGTGGGGCCTCCTTTATTTGAATTCATGGGTTCTTCCCCTACACAGAATTTTGGAAATCACCAGACGTCCTCTCGTCCTCTCAGACACCTGGAGAGCTGAGGAGCAAACAGGCTGAATGACACATTATGTCTACACAATTTGAAAAGAAGGAAGCTGCCTTCCCTCGGCTCTTTCTTTCCAGCCATTTCCGTCCTTGGGGGGTGCCAGAATAAGTCCACCTTTGCTGAAAGGAGGAAGACACAAGGCCTGCTAGTCTGCAAAGCTTCATCTGACGCACACACCCCCACACATACATCTTGCCTGGGCTGGGCCAAAATGCACCACACAAGAAGCGGTGTGGAGAGACACCAGTCCCCTCCTGGATTGCATCCTTCACATCCCTGGGCGCTAGAAGCAAACATTTTCAAAAAGCACTTTCCATCTGGCTTCCAGAGATTGTGTAGAAGCAGGGTTGTCCTTCCTTGTCCAGCTGTTGCACCTTGCAATTTTAGTCAAAAGGCTGGAAGCATCTCGTTAGGAGAAAAACCGGGCGGATCCCTCCCTTCCAAGTACAACCTGGCTTATTGGGGGGCAGGGGTATCTGCTTAGAGACATCAAAGACGTTCTCTGTCCAAAGGCAAGAAGAACCTGGACCCCCCCCCAAAACTGCTGAGGCTCAGAACTTCCCCAGTTTCCCTCAAGCAAGCTGGTTACTCACGTCTTGTCTTGCCACACTCAAAAGGCCAGTTGTGGCAACATCTCCCACCCCTCATCGTTCAGCCGGGATCTTTTGGGAGGAGACCCTGGGCTTTTCTTGCCACCTGTAAACCAAGCAAGCGAGCTGGCCAGGCCAGCAGAGTCCTCTGCAGAGCAGAGCCCAGGAGAACATTTGGGTTTCCCTATCTCGGCGAGGTGGATTTGCTCTCTGCCTCTTGGGAAGACCGCCTGGCCTGGCCCTGAGATGCTACAAATAGGCCGTGACCCAATATTGTTGCCAGTTAAATAGCAAAATAAGAAATGCATTAAGGACAGAGATGCCCCAAGGCTCATGCCAGGGCGAATGTAATCTGCAGAAGGGAGAAGTGCTGATAATTATAATGGTGTTTAATGTATGCAGGGAGCAGATAAAAGCACCTATTTAGCTGGAACAGCCTCGTTGCAAAGGGCAGGTTTGCCACAGCAAAGGGCAGGACTCTCCCAAGCGCTGAGCTCAGCTGCAGAGAAGCACCAGGACGCCTCCAGGCAGAGCTTATGACTTGCAGCTGAGGGAAAGATTAAATCAGTTCCTCTGCAGGTAGATGGGAAATACTGGGATGGCCAAGGGCCTCGTAGGTAAGCCACCCTGGTTTTAAGTCTGGCCTTTTTGCGGGTTTCAAATATGTCAGAGGGGAGGGGTCCTAAGGAGGAGAACAGCCTGCTTGCTGGTAGCTTCTGTTGGAATCCCATTCTGTCAAAACACATGTGGAACCTGCAGGAGACATGAATTCTGGCTCGACCGCCCATGTTTGGTGGCAAGTGCTGAGAAGGCAAAGTGTCCTTTTAGATGGAATCAGCCAAGGACACGTAGAGGACATAGCTGGAATTTCAGCATGGGAGCCAGAATAGCCAAATTCTAACTTCTCTACCAATAAAGGAGAATCTTTGTAGCTGAGGGTTGAAACGAGGGGTCCTGGGTGCTCTCTGAGCTTGGTGGTTTTCTTGCAGAACTGCTAGAACAAATGCAATAAGTTGCTTTTTTGCTAGCACTGATGATGTTACCTAGTTGGGTCACAAAACGCCTGCAAGGAAACCACCAAGCTCAGAGAGCACCCAGGACCTCTCTGCCTTCTCTGTCTGAAATCAAATCACACAAATGCAGAATATGAGACCTTGGAGTTCTACCAAAAAAGAGCAGAAACGAGGCTTATCCTCTGCCCCAACCAACTCCATAATCTGGGCCGGGAAGAGCTGCCGCAGAACAGAGATCAGAAGGAGTCGTATGACATGCAGGCTCCTATTTTTAATCTCTGAGACCCTGGAGGGAGGGATCTGGCCACATCCCTAAGGGAAGAAGGGGCCCTTGGGAGCTTAAGGCCCTAAACCTGCAAACGCTTGGAGACTTTACTCGGCGGTGGGCCAGGACCGTTTGGACAAGCAGCCCAGATCGCAGAATTTCATTCTCCGGATTCCCTGAACCAGCTAGGGAAAAAGGAAGCTGTTATCAAGAGTGGCTCAGCAAGAGAGGGTAGCTTCCATTGCGCGGGAAAATGGGTCTGCCAGCCCTGGGCTGTCAAGCTCCCCCTCCCCTTTTCTCCCTCTGACTATGCAGTTCAGCTCATAATTGCCCTAAAATGCCTCTTGGAGCAGCCATGAACTAACCATCTTTATAAGCCCTAGGTAGACAGAAGCTCTCCTTTGTATTCTGGGGAATTAATGTTGGAAGGAACAACCTGGGCTGAGGTGAGAGGTGTGTGCTTCACCAAACTGGCTGCACAATGGTGCGTTTTCTTTCCCCGTCCTGGGTCTGTCCGTCTCGTCCCTTTGACCACTAGAAATGGGACAGGATCTTAATCATCTTCAGGGCAATCCACCAGACTTTATTCTGCTATCTCCGTGCCATTACCAATTTTTATTAGTTTATCAACATATAAAATACAAACATGGAAAGAAAAATGAGAATAATTGGAAAATAGGGAAGGAGAAGAGGAAGAGGGAAAAGTGTAAAAAGGAAAAAAAGGGAAAAGAAAAAGAAAAGCATTGACTTCCCACTCTTTTTGGTGCAGTAGAATAAGGTAATAACGCACAACCTCAACTTTTAACTTTTACATAATATTTTAGCGACTTCTGTAATAACAAACCCATCTAACCAGCAAAATCCAAAATCAAAGTTTCATTTTTTTCCCACCTCAAGCACAAAGTCCAGGAGTGGTTTCCAATGGAAATTAATTAATTATATTCTTTAATCAATGCAGTCAATTTAGCCATCTCTGCTAACTCAGGTCCACTTTTGTAGCCGTCCATCCTTCCAAAACAGCCAGACCCAGGCAAAGTTAAAGCATGAGGATGTACTCTTTAGGAGGGCCCAGTGAAGGGATCTGGCCGGAATCCTTGTCGGTAATCTTAGAGGTCTCCTGATTATGTCTCCAAGGATGGGACAGAGAAGAAGAGAAGGAAGGGGAAGGACTGTGAAAGATTATCCTATATCAAAAGGTTTGTGGAAGAATGAGAAGTTGAGTTAAGATCTTGTTGTCTCATCAGACATGCTGACTGCTATAAATGCTGCTTTTTGGGAAATTATGAACCTAAGATTGTAAAGACCATTTATAGATTCATTTACTTTTATTTCATTGTGAGGGAAAATTTCAAGAGGGACTCAAGTGGTGAATCCGTCCCAGCCCCTCAGATCTTCTCTTGCAGGGAAGTGAGATGGCTCCTTCTGAGGCAAGGCAGCCCATGAACTAAGCTGAGGAACATGGGCTTTCATTTCTTTTGGCTTCAGTTGAAGGACACACATGAATCTTCCTCCTTTTGACCTAGATGATTACAGGAGCATCTTCTACTGTCAGAGAACTGGTTTCTGATCTCCTCCCAGAGACCTAAAGCCTCTTCAAGTAGTTACACCCAACTATGACAAGTTGCTAAGTTATCTATTAACCCATTTTATTTCTTTAATATTTGCAGGAGATATAGCAGCCCTTGGTCTCTTATCCTGCTAGGAATTCCAATGCCTCTGAGACTTCTGATAGTTTTGTCAACCAAGACAATTGACAAAGTCTTTTGGCTTGAAAGACAAGGAGAAGCAGTTGC